TCACCGCCCAAATTCCCCAAAGATTCCAAGCCCTGAAAAAGAGCAACAGAATTCAGGAATTGTACTGTGTCCTTTATGCAGGCATGACTGCATGGATGCTGCTGTGTTTGAGCAGCATCTTATCAAAGAGCATCATGTCACCAAAGAAGGCATGCAGAGACTCCTGTCCTTAGTCAGTATCCCATCTTCGATTGCATCAGCCGTATCTCCTGTATTATCTGAAAAACCCACAATATCCTTACATGATGATGATCATCAAATATCTTCATCGCTTTCATCATCACCATTATCAACTTCTATACTGATCACACCAAAGGATGAGCTAGCAGATCCAACTGAGTGTCCAGTATCAACAAGTCAGGTGATTTCTTTCTCCAAAGATGCCAACCATGGAGAGCAGGTATCTCATCCACAGCTCACAAGCAAGACAGTTCCAACCACAAATTCATTTCTTGGAATCCAAGACAAGCCACCCCAAGCAACATCCCACTCAACAACATCCCACTCAACAACATCCCACTCAACATCATCCCACTCAACATCATCCCACTCAACATCATCCCACTCAATAACATCCCACTCAACATCATCCCACTCAGCATCACCCCTACAGCCATCTATTGTAACATCACCTACTGTGATGTCTAGTCCTATCCCAGAAACTGTACCATTGATATCATCACTTCCGACCATCAGTCAAGCCACATCAGATTTATCGACTCAGGAGGAGTTCTGGGAGATTGACCTGCAACTTGTAGAGTCCCAGCATGCATGGCTAATTGCTGCAGAAGGTAAGCACAGAGTCATTTATTCTTCTTCTTTTTCTTCAGCTTCCAAGCCCTTGAGGTTCATTACTGCAGATATCACCCGCCTCCATTCATCTCTCTGGTTGGCCTTCTTCAGCATTCCAACCTCTTGAGGTTCATTGCTGCAGATATTACCTGCCTCAATTCATCTCTCTGGTTGGCCTTCTTCTTCAGCATTCCAATCCCTTGAGGTTCATTGCTGCAGATATCACCAGCTTCTGTTCATCTGTCTGGTTGGCCTTCTTTAGCATTCCGACCCCTTGAGGTTCATTGCTGCAGGTATTACCTGCCTCCGTTCATCTCTCTGGTTGGCCTTCTTCAGCATTCCAATCCCTTGAGGTTCATTGCTGCAGATATCACCCCCCTCCATTCATCTCTCTGGTTGGCCTTTTTCAGCATTCCAATCCCTTGAGGTTCATTGCTGCAGATATCACCAGCTTCCAGTTGGTGACACCAATTGTTTGCAGGTCTTTTTGGACATTATCTATCTGTATTCTTGTTGGTGTGCCTCATTGCCTACAGCCATTTATTTCCCTTGTGTAGAGTAATTTACTATCTTGTAGAATCATGGGGAACCATGTTTAAACAGCAGCAGAGGTGGTGGTGGTGGTGGTAGTAGTAGCAGCAGCAGTAGCAGCAGCAGCATCTGCAGCAGTACTAGAAGCAGTAGAATGTTGAATTAAGAATCGACATCACAGCGCCGGGACACTCCTATAAGTGCTCTATCCCCATCTTCAGCAGCAAGCGAAGAGTTACAATTCCGATGGCACCAGTAATTGTCTGATTGTATATCCCTCTCATCCTTCCCCTGTGTATTGAGCGCCAGCCAGATCCCCTGGTAACTCCTAGCGGTGCCAATCTCCTTAGACGTAATGATCTATCTGCGACTATGCACTGTTCACTCACTCCCAAAGGGCCCTCACAATATCTAACGTCATACATCAATTCATTACCAAATGGTGCAGAGCCAGCCAGTCTATCTGCCTTCTCATTTTCTAACACATCGGCATAACCTGGAGAAAATATCCAAAGGATGCTAACTACTTGGGACCTCTGAATAGAGTGCTTGCCACTCTGCATGAATCATGCTTGTTTTCACCTTTCTCAGCGTGCTTAATGACTCATTTACAATAATGGCATGTGTGTAAAGCTGATTTTCGAGGGAGCGGAAGGCAGCAGATAGGAGGAGTAGGAGTAGGAGGGAGAAGGAGGAGCAGAAACAGTAGTACAATATGTGCCACAGGCATCAGTTAAACAAAAAAAAAAGACCCTTTTCCACTCCGTCAGATGTATTGGGCATATATTGCTAAACCTGTATTGTATAGACCAACTGGCACTTAGTGCGTGATGCGGTCAACATCCTGCCAGCCACCTTTACTTCCCAGGGCTTTGACATTAACTTTTTTTAAATGTCCGACTCTGTCAGATTTAAACACATAACCTTTGGATCTTCTTTATCCTCCTCCTCTTCTTCTTCTTCTTCTTCTTCTTCTTCTTCTTCTTCTTCTTCTTCTTCTTCTTCTTCTTCTTCTTCTTCTTCTTCTTCTTTTTCTTCTTCTTCTTCTTCTTCTTCTTCTTCTTCTTCTTCTTCTTCTTCTTCTTCTTCTTCTTCTTCTTCTTCTTCTTCTTCTTCTTCTTCTTCTTCTTCTTCTTCTTCTTCTTCTTCTTCTTCACCTTCACCTTTAAAACAGTAATTGGAATATTGGGATTAGACTGCAGTATCTGCCTCTTGTGGCCCCAGTACATCTGATGTCAGCAATCTCTTTTATTTATTTACTTTGACTAATTTTTGTAAGAGGCAGGGTGTCTATTCTGTGTTCTCCCAAAGTGGGTTCCACAACCTGCACTAAGATGTTTTTCTTCTTTCTTCTTTTGCTGTGTCACTGATACCAGGTTGTAGCCCAGAGTTGTAGTTTTCTGTATTTGTCATGTGCTTCTCTGGTGACTCAAGTGATGGATTTGTTCATCTTTTTTTGCAGCTTTTATCCATCTCTTTCTTGGCTTTCCCTTTGCCTTCCTGCCAGACGTTCTGTTGTAAAAAGTCTGATATGCAGTCTGTCTGGCAACATTGTCACTAGATGGCCAAACTATTTTATTCTTTGTCTTTCAATACCTATAATTGAGACTGGTCCTTATTTCAACTTCCTCTCTAGTGATGATATTCATTTCCCTGTCCCCTCTTGTGTTATTCTTGGCCTTACAGAGATAGCACATTTTACAGTTAGTTACTTTCTGTTCTAGGGAATCTCTGTGGTGAAGCGGTCAAGCCGTTAGCCTCGTGCTCTGAAATCGTAGGTTCATTTCACGGATGCGCCCTTCAGTTCGCGAGTGCAATTTTTATGGAACTCATTTGGGATCATCACCGGTGCTATAGAGTTCGTGCTCTGTGCGATGCTATCAACAGGCAGCTAGCCATTCTGTGGTGAGAGACTGAGCCATATGGGATAAAATCAGGTGCAATGTAATCGATCCTCTCGAATTTTACTTTTAACTATTTTCTGTTCTAGTGCCTATTTCATAACACGCTGAGGTGTTAACATTATTTATTACTTCAACTTCCTGACCAGATATAAGTACCACATATATGATACTGATCTATGTAATTTATTTTCTGCAGGGATAGATCTCACTCTTCAAGATAATCTGGACAGAGAGCTTGAAAATCTCTTCACCTGTCAGACCTGCAGCAAGCACTTCGGGGACATTGATCGCCTGTACGAGCACCAGAATGAACTGGGTCACCTGCAGCTCAAGCAGACCCCACAAGGTCCAGGATATCTCTGCTGGAGGAAGGGTTGCAACCAGTACTTCAAGACCGCCTTAACTCTCCAGGTTCATTTCAGGGAGATCCATGCTAAACAATCATTGGCAGGGATCCTGTCGCCTCAGGAAGTGGAGCTATACAGGTTCAGATGTGAACAGTGTAGTTTCAGTTTTAAGTCCTCATCAGCATTAGAGAAACATAAATGTGTACACTTAATTCGCTCTGTGACCCAGTGCAGAGTATGTTCCAGAAATTTTAGCTGTAAATTAAAAATGAAAAGACATTTGGAGACAGGTCATACAGATTTGAGTGCTGCAGATATAACGTTTCAAGTGGAGAAATTTAACAAAAACATCCAGATATTGTTTACCTCTCCTACTTTTCAGCAATTTACTTCTAAAGTTCTAATGACAAATGACAATGTAAAATCAAAGGTGTTCAGTTTTGTGAGTCAAGAAAAGGTAAAGGAACATGAAGTGATGACAAATGAAATTGATTTTGAGAGAAATGTCAAAGTATGTGAGAATTATATGGATACAAGTGAGAACAGTTTAAAGAAATGTCAAGAGAAACAGATTGAGAAAGGGGATAAGAAAAAGCAATTACTGGCTGAAGAGAATTATCAAAGTAAAGGCTGCATGTTTAAGTGCCATTCGTGTATGTTAGGGTTTGCAGACGAGATTGATATGTTGGCTCATTTCAAGACATATGTACATGAATGCCAAGAGAAGAAAGAGGTTGCTAAAGCTGAAGTTGGACCTCACAAATGTGATGTTTGTAAAGAGTCTTTCCAATGGAAAAGTGATCTTCTGGAGCATTATAATTCAACTGGTCATCAGATGAAATTAAAACAACAGAATGTGGCAAGTGGAGATAATCCACCCATGGTTACCACAACTCCTGCTGAAATTTCGCTGAAATCAACTGTTTTTGGCCGAAAGGCACAGATAGCGTTTCCTAGCTGTAAACCACAAGATGATCTGCCAACCAGCCTTTTAAAGATAAACTCAGAAGAAAAAGGAGAAGCAGAAGAAAAAGAGGAAGCAGCTTGTGGGGTATCTCTTACATCATCTGCTATAATTACTTCCCCTTCTAAAATAGGTTATGTTAATGAAGGTGGTGATAGAGTTCTAACTACTAGCGGTTCAGAGATGAAATCCTATAAGTGCAATGTTTGCCGGGTTAATTTTGATAATCAGTTAAGTTATGACATTCATCTGCGATCAGTATATCACAGAACAAGAACTGATAAATCAGGAGGTATGATCTTATCAGATGTAGGCAGTGATAACCAAACCGTCTCACAGAATCCAGATCCACAGGCTGAAAGCAGACTGCGGGCTCAAATAATTGCTGACATGATACACCAGCAAGCCACAGCTCAAGCAGGTCCTTGCTTCAACCTACAGACTCTGCAGGAGATGAATGTTGTGACCCAGTTATCTCTGCTGAGACTTCTCCCGACAACATCCCATGCATTGCCGACTACACCCACTCCAAATTCTTTAATGGCGGTTTCTAATGCTCAGATGGAATCTTGTTTGTCATCATTCACAGCTGAATTTATCAAAACAGGAAGTGTGCAGGGTGAAACTAGTACATCAGTATCTTCTGGCACGCTAGTTCCAGAAATCACTTCTGCTCTAAATCCAACAGAGGCTGTTGCTAACTCTATTCTTGGAGAAGGAAGCAGAAGGGAAGCTTCAGATCCTGGAACCAAGGTGATGCCAGATTTGAGTGAAACTTCAACTGATGTAAAAATTAGTCGAAAAAACAATGAACTGCCACCGCAGTTTCACGCACCAGTTATAGCACGACCGCGAGGTTTCATGGGCCGTTTCAAGCCACAGTTATATAAAAGTCTCCTAGAGAACTTTGGTTTTGAGTTTGTCATGCATTTTAATGAAGAACAGACAAGAACATCAGAAATCACTGAGGTAAAAGAGGACAATTTAGACACTAAAGATGAATACACAAATGAAGTTACAAAATATAAAGAGCCTAACACAGACTTGACAAGTGAAATGAAAGAGAGTACAGAGAATGAAGCAATAAGTAATATTTCTCAGAATAATAAAAATGAGAGTCAGATGGAGGAAAGTGAGAGCAACAAAGAGGTTGAGTTAACAGAGATTAGCCGGCAGCAGTGCCAGACATGCCATAAATACTTCTCGAATTTGTGGGTTCTTAAAAACCATCAGGAGGATATGCATAATTTGCTTGTTTCACCAGACACCATTGATAACTTTGGGCAGAGGTTCAAAGAGGTGTGGGAAAAGAGCTTACCTAAGCCTCAAGAACAAGAGTCAGGCTCACTTCCGCAGCCACCAGTAATCCCATCGAATACTGCTGCTGCCGCACCTTCATCAGCGGCTGAGAAATCCTCCACACTAGATGTAGAGCAGGTTAAACCAGCACTGGTTCAACCTGAAGTCCCATATCACCTTGAACTTCCACAGCTTTTACCTTTCATGACCATGAACTGCCTGCCAATGCATTTGTCCATGAACTTGATGAATCTTGGTCTGCAAAACTCTCTGATATCTTCTTTGATGATGCAGAACATGGACTTGTCTCAGAGTTTTTTATCTCACATCCCTCAAGCTTCACTAATAGATTCTTCATTTCCAGCCAGCTCACAGCAGTTCCATATGAGTGCTGCTGCAGTGGCTGCTGCTCAGAAGAGGGTTCGAACTCGTATAAGTGATGACCAATTGAAGGTGTTGAGACAGTACTTTGACATCAATAACTCTCCCACAGAAGAGCAGGTCAACAAAATGGCCGACCAGACCGGCCTCCCTCAGAAAGTGATCAAACACTGGTTCCGTAACACTCTTTTTAAAGAGAGGCAGAGAAACAAAGATTCCCCTTACAACTTCAACAACCCACCTTGCACCTCCATTGACCTTCGTGAATATGACAGAACTGGGAAACTCCCAGAAATTAAACTGGAAATTGATGAAGATTTTGACCGAGACACAACTCCAGCTCCTGATCTGAAGAAAGAAACGCCATCACCAGTAGAGGAAATGGCTGAGGATAAAACTGAGCATGACACAGATTTCATAGACAGACCCAGTCTTAAAATAGATTTGACACCAAAGATGGAACTTGACACTGAAGAAAGAAAGGATCTAGAAAATTATTCCAATTTGTCATCACCTTTCATTTCCTCCATTCCTTCAACTCCAGTAGCATCTGCACCAGTAACTCCCACCCCAGGGAACACACTGAATGCAGCAAATCCTCTTGCATATTCCATGGACAATTATGCTGCCAACATGGCGCGCTTAGAAGCCGCAACATTCCACCACATGGGCAAAAGAGCCAACAGAACCCGTTTCAGTGACTACCAAATCAAAACTCTTCAAGATTACTTTGAACAGAATGCTTATCCCAAAGATGATGAACTGGAACATTTATCTAAAATTCTGGGGTTAAGTGCAAGAGTTATTGTTGTTTGGTTTCAGAATGCCCGTCAAAAGGCTAGAAAGATTTATGAAAACCAGCCGGCAACTGAGAGCACACAAGAAGCTCCCAGTCATTACCAAAGGACGTCAGGAATGAATTACCAATGCCAAAAATGCAACAGTACTTTCCAGCGCTATTACGAACTTAACAAACACCAAAAGCACTTTTGTATGGTGGAATCAAACAACAATAAATCCATTCCCTCTATGATGGAAACTGACAGTAACTTCAGCTATTCTAACGATGATTCCTTTCTCTCAGACTATCAGATGACCCCAGCATCAACAACCAAGAAGAGAGATACTCAGATCTCATCTTATCCCCCAAAACAGCAAAGTGTATCAAATACAACCACATGTGTTATCCCAACAGTTTCAGCCTCACCATCTTCAACATCCTCCTCCTCCTCCTTCTACGTCCCTTCCTTTAAATGTGACAAGTGCTCCATGTCCTTCTCTAGGTTTGACACCTGGCAGGAGCACCAAAGAGCCCACAGTATTGCTCCAGCCATGTTTACCCCTTTCTCATCCAATCCAGCTTTTAGAATGCTGGAGAATTTAGCCTATCATGAAAACGATACAACTGAGGTAGCTACAGCCGCTTTGCCCACATCCAGCTCTATTTTAAATTCAATGGTATCGCCACCAGCCACCTCCTCTTTGCATGAACCACCAGCCGTGACACCAAATTCATCATCATCATCTCTGTCACCATCCTCAAAGAGGAAGACGGACTCAGAGGATGAGAGTGGTGATCAACCGAAGGACAAACGTTTGAGGACCACTATATTACCTGAGCAGTTAGATTACTTGTACCAGCAGTATCAGGTCAGTTGTATTATTTTTTTCATTCTTCTTCTTCTTCTTCTTCTTCATTTCCTCTTTTATCACTTCCGATGTTGAGGGAGATATAAGTTTCTGCTTCTTGTTCCTCTGACCGCCTCAGGTATAGATGTCATTGTGACTCTGTCAGGTATGTATCTCGTTGCCTCTGTGTGATTTGCCTGTCTCTCTTTTTATCTGTTTTTCTGTCTCTTTCTTTATCTGTTTTTCTGTCTCTTTCTTTGCAGTCATGTCTTACCATCCACTTCCATTCATTCATTTATTAAAATGTCAGATTGTCTATCATTTTATTTCTCTGATTCTCTCTCTCTCTCTCTCTCTCTCTCTCTCTATCTCTCTCTCTCTCTCTCTCTGTGTCTCTGATGTTATCTTTCCAACTTGTACTTAGTCTACCTCATGCTCTACATCCTTCTCCTCTTTTGGTGTATGCCTTGTATGGTATGGGAGCAGCCATGGTGAAGCAGCTAGATACTTGCCCGTGGATCGGAAGGTCATGGTTTCAGGTTCTGATGAAGCCAGACTTTTTTTTTTTTCAAAAAATTACATTGGCTCCCAGGTCAACCCATCCTTGAGTGGTACCAGGTATGGTCCTGGGAAGATAGGGCGGCCGGTGTAATGTTAACCACATCACCAACCAAGTGGTGATTGGTCTATAAAATATGCGTCTAGCCCTATATGCCCAATGAACCTGAAAGTGTGGCAAAGGATCCTTTGGTTTTATCTTTTTAACCTCAATTTAGCTGAGTTGTCTGCTCCTATAAACATTGAAGTGTATACACCGTGTGAGGAACTCAAGCCACTCACATACAACAGCATGTTAGCTTGTAAGTGCAAGGTGGGGCCGTTCAGTTAAGTGAACCCAGATGGGCTAAATGTTGGAGAATAGGGAGCATGCCAAGCCAAAGAAAAGAGCCCCAGCGTAGGAAGAGTATTAATCCAATACAATTGAGAGGTGATTCATATGCCTCTTACTAGGCATAGGTGGGGGAGATTTGACCCACCGGCTGCCAGTTGAATACCCCTGGTGTAGGGTATTCAAATACAACTTTTGTGGACATCCCAGGTGATTGTTACTGGAGCTATGAAGTTCATGTTTTTGTGCAATGCTCTCAGCAGGCAGCTAACAGTTCTGTGGAGAGAGACCAAACCATTTGAGTAATTAGGTGCACTGAACTCAATTCTTTTGACTTTAAGTTTGATTTGGCTTTCTTGAAATTATTTGGTTAAATTATTTACTTTAAATTCATAATTTGTTTAAATCACCATTGATCACTGGTATCATGAGAGCTAATAGGGTGAAATGGCTGGGGCATATTGAAAGTATGTCAGATGACTGAGAGGTTAAAAACTGTATACACAAGGGAGATGAATGGTCGAAAACCACAAGGCAGACCAAGAAGATGTTGGAGAGATAATGTCCAGAGAGACCTGCAAACACTTGGTGTTAACAACTTGAAAGAGAAGGCAAACCAGAAAGATGAGTGGCAGCCGGTGATATCTACACCAATGAACTTTAAGGGCTCAGGTGCCAGTCCACAGGCACACTTGGCTTATTTGCCAATCCTAAATTTTTTTTGTATACATGTGGCTGCGACGTCGACATTTCTCTCATTTCTTCACTCTTCTTGAATTTTTTCCATTTTATTTTCATCATTTTCCTCAAGCATTTGTTTTAAAGCAAAGACTCTCCCAGCAAAGACTGTAGATCTGGCCCAGGGGATCCACATTGCGAGAGAAGCTATGGGAGACCGGTGGCGACCTTAAACGCACAATCCTATTTTTGACCCAGACGGAACTCAATGTGACTGATGTCGAACGCAGAAGAAGAAGAAGAAGTTTTAAAGCACATTGAAATACTTCGACCACATTGAAAGACATAACGCACATTGAAAAAACCATACTGGAGGAAAAGGTTGAAGGCAAGAGAGCAAGGGGTGGGCAATGATACAAGTGGAAGGATAACATCAAGAGATGGACGAGCAGCAGTCTGACAAGGTGTACAACTAGGACAAGAGACAGAGGATGTTGGAGATCCATTACAGCCAACATTCACTGTGGAGAAGGCACCTGGTTGTTTACTTGATTGATTATTCTAAAGATTCCAAAGCACATTTAACTTTCATTGTACCACTTGTTCTTCGAGGAGCGGTTGGCTGAAAGATTAGAACGCTGGGCTCTCAAGCAAGAGACAAGGGTTCAAATCCTTGGTAAGGCCAGGGATTTTTTTCTGTCGGCAAAATACAAACCTCACCTGCCCAGTCATGGCGACAGCACTAGCCATGCGCCCGTAAATCCTCAGACTCCACCAAAAAAGTGGTATAACAAAGACAGTAATTGGTAGTTTTTTTTACTAGTTCTTCTCCAACTTTCAGTGACAAATGCTATTACTGAAATAAAATTTGAATTTAAAATACCTAATTTGCTTCTAAAACAATATGTTTTAATATTTAGCTATTGCCTTTTGTTTTTTAGGTTGATTGCAATCCAAGCAGAAAACAGCTGGAGCATATTGCAAGCACAGTTAATCTGAAGAAGAGAGTTGTCCAGGTGTGGTTTCAAAATACTCGAGCCAGGGAACGGAAAGGACACTACAGGTGGTGGTAGTGATGTTTATATTAATATAACCTGATCAACCTCTGGGTTATAATAGGCACTTATAGTGTACATTGTTAGCATTTGTCAACAGTCAGGTTTGATTGATTTGATTTGATTTAAGAACCAACACCCCACACAGCACTCTAAGCATTCCCATAAGCGTTTTCGTCCCCATCTTCAGCAGTCGGTGAAGAGTTCCAATACTAATAGTGCCAGTAGTATTCTGATTAAACGTCCATCTGGTCTGTCCTCTGAGCCTCGAGCATCTGCCAGAACTTCTCGTTTCTTCCCCCTGCATCAGTCTCACCAGACTGTGGTGACCCATCTGCTTCCCTCGAACTGTACACACTCTCCCACAAGGCACTAACCACGTTTACCTTATCATGCATCAGTATTTCACCAAATTGTGTAGAGCCAGCCAGTCTGTCCGCGTGTTCATTTCCCAACACACCCGCGTCTCCTGGTGAAAAAATCCAGACAATACTCCTCACCCGAGTCCTTCGCAGTGGAGCATGCCACTCTGCACAAAGCATGCCTGTCCTGACCATCCTCAGCATGCTTTCTGAGTCAGTTACAGTCACGACGTCAGATTTAAGAACGAAGCTATAAATGTAGCTAGGCAGAGCACTTCTCTTCTGATACTGCAGCTTCTGCTGCTTTGTTCCAAACTTATTGGTGTTACCTTTCCTTAGGAGTTAATAAGGCAGGCTTATAGAGGGATCATGCTGTATGGTCAACACATGGTCACTACAGTACTGTCCAGACTTTGTGCCAAGGAATGGAGGTAGAGGCAGGCCCAACAGCTTTCTGCAGGCTTGAGAACCAGCTGCACACACCTATTGTGATTGTGACAGACTCAGAAAGCATGCTGAGAAAATAGAGAAATGCATGCTGTGTTCAGAGTGGCAAGATTGCACCAGAGGTCCTCTGTAGTTATTATCCCTTCATATTTTCTCCATGCCTTGCAGGTTAGTTATTTAGTTAGTTAGCTAGCTAGTTAGTTAGTTAGTTAGTTAGTTAGTTAGTTATTTGCTAGCTAGCTAGCTAGTTATTATCCCTTCATATTTTCTCCATGTCATGCAAGTTAGTTGGTTAGTTAGTTAGTTAGCTTGCTAGTTAGTTAGTTAGTTAGTTAGTTAGTTAGTTAATTAGTTAGTTAGTTAGTTAGTTAGCTAGTTAGCTAGTCGGGTTATCATCATTGCACTCGGGACATGTCCATAGGTGCTCTGATCCTCCCCTCAGTATGAACCCCAACGTACTATGGTACCAGTTCTATGTTGATTAACAAGTCTTCTAGTGTGTTTGGTGTACGGCTTGTTTTTTTCTCTATTGAATTCCTTTGCCATGCTTTTCAAGTCAGCATGTCGTCGTATCGGATGCTGTCAGGGCCTGGAGAAGTGCTGCGCGATTTCTTGAGTCAAGTTCGTAAGATCAGTGCCTAGCGCAGTGTTCTCACACAGCATCGACAGTTTCATCTTAACCCCTATTCTTGCAGCTTCGTCTTTCTGGTCAGTTTGCTCCAAGTAGCACGCAAGAAGGGTTCTTCCTTTATCAGCATCCATTCTCCGCCATGTCAGGTATGTTCTTTAAAAATCAGGGATACCCCTTGGTCGTGAGGTGCCGTGCATGCTCTGTTGAAGGCTCCAGAATGTCACAAGAGATCCCTCGGAGCAAACGCTCTTGCAGAATTTGTTCCATTTGGCAGTCTTGGCTTCCTTCGCACTCAACTTGAAAGCCACTGTCTGCTTGTTGACCTCATCTTTCAGACTGATCAGGCATTCAGAAAGGGACGGATCAGTTTTCCTTGCCTTTTGCCATGCCTTGACAGCTTTCCTTTTTTCTAGCCACGCCATGTTGACTACTTCATTCCGCCATGGTGGCTGGGCCCATCTCTCCCGCCCTCTACAATCAGCTCTTGTTTTACTCCATCTGATTTTGCTAATGGCATCTTGCTGTTTTGGGAAATGAACAGGCAGACAGACTGGCTGGTGCTACACCACTGGGTAATGGCTAGTTGCCGTGACCACAAGTAGTCTGACTATGCTTACACACATCATGTATGTACAATCATACACGCTCTGAATACACACATACACTTTTATATGCCCATACATACACACACAAGCACACCCACACATATACACAGTACACATGCACACACACACACACACACTCATACATACAGCATCATAGTTATACTTAGTTGTACTTAGTTGTACTCATGTTCTTACAGACACATACAAGCACCCACACTCATGCGTACACTCAAATGCATATGTTTATATATACACATACACACACACAAATACATACATATGCACAATCACCTTTATACACACAAACACTCATACATACACAAGCACACAAAGAAGAAGATAAAGAGGAATTTATGTCATTTAAATTGTAAAAGTGTTATTTATTTGTATTGGTAATCTTCTTTAATTTTAGATTAGGAAATAAATATCTGCAAAGATCAAATGGGCATTTCCTAACCCTTCTGTATATGAATTTTTCTTACAGGGCACATCAACAGCTGATAAACAAAAGATGCCCATTCTGCCGGGCTCTCTTTCGAGCCAAATCAGCACTGGAGTCCCATCTGGCAACTAAACATCCAGAACAGGTTTCAAAAGGGGACATCAATATTGATCTTCTCCCAGATGTGGTTGTTGAAACTCCTCCTGGCCAAGCCCACACTTCAGTGGCATCGTATTTTAGTCATGCGTCATCTCCATTATCTTCTATGTATATGGCATCTGAAATGAAGAGTTTACCATCTGGTTCGTTGTCTGCACTGCCAAACTACATGGCCTTAATGTCTGCATCTAGTGGGATAAATCTACCATTTCCTGGGTCAACTGCAGATTTTATGAGTAATCAGTCGTTTGAGGATCCTTTTTTCAAGAAGTACATGAAAGATCTAACTAAAAATGTTTCCAGCAAACAAGAGTATTCACTTCTGCATTCTTACAACAACCTTGTTACACCTGAAGCAGCTTCTATCCACTCCGCAGCACAAGCATATGCTCAAGCCACACCCACTGAATTTTCCATTCCTTCAAAACCACTGGTTGCCCACCATTCAAAAATCAACCCCCAGCCTTCAGCATTCTCATCCAATGATGACACACCCCTAGATCTCAGCAAACCAATCAAAACTGTAGAATCGTTATCCAATGAACCAGCCTTACACAAAATCAAATCTGCCAGTGTGGATTACAGTGACCGATCTTCAGAGCAGGATTTCCTTCAAGCACCTGGCAACTTGGACGAATCCTTCTCAGAAACCCAGTCAGAAATGGCTGATCATGAGTACACAAATGATGTTGGGAACAGTCCTTCATCTGCATCTCACCTTTCCACCAGTTTTATTCTGAACACAGGCACAAACAGTTCCATAGGCAAACGGTACAGGACTCAGATGTCAGCCGTACAGGTAGGCAAGGTTGTATATTTTATTCAACTGTTTCATTCTTTTCTTACCTATCTATCACACAAAACTATGGAGGCTGCCTGGTCTCTAGGTATGGTATCTGCCTCGAGTGCTAGGGGCTCAGGGTTCAATCCCCAGTAAGGGCTGTGATTTTTTTTTATGTGGATGGGCTTCTAGTAATTCCCCCTGGTCTCTGGGTAGTCAGATTGGACGCCTGTGTGCATTGTTACGTGTGTAAAAAATCCCTTGGCAGTTGGAAATCGAAAAGAGTAGCTTAACGGTGCTGCCTGGGCAAAAATTTGGAGTTAAAAATTCTACCCAAAGTATTTCAGGATCCTCGCCTGTGCACTGTGCTGGGCTTCTTTAGACTCAGGCTTGAGTAAGAAGAAGATCGGAGCACTTATGGGTTACTACCCGTGCACCATGATGTTGATCCGTTGTTCAAACCTCAATCCTCACACAAAACTTTATATCTTCAACTTTTGTGTGATTCTAATGATAACTTATAGCTGTGAGAGTTGGAAAGTAATGGTAGCTCTAGATGAAAAAAAAAATGACATTTTACAAAAAAATTTCTTAGAAGAATACTAAATATCCACTATAATGTGGCTCCGTGGCTTAGAGGTTTAGTGAATATGTCTAACAATTTCATGTTTCTTGAGTGCAAACTTTTCCAGTCCCAAGGAGGGCATCGCACGGTAAACTGGTTACTACCCAGCCGCCCAATCGTTGCGTGACGCATAATTTTTTTTTAAATTTACCCCTGGCCAGTGTAACAGTTTTGAATGGCATTTCGTGTTCTTTATGTTCAATATCACAGATGTTGACCAATAAATAGGCTTATTCTGAAATGTGGTAAAAGGCATAAAATGTAGCATGTTTGTGAATGTTACCGAGCTACTAAGTGTCGCTGTAGCTGTAGAAAACAGCAAAATCTCTGAGCAGGCTTCTTCATGCACGCCAACAAGATTTATGATTTTAGAAGCCTCATATTTAAAAAAACATGTGTTTTATATCAGATTTATCTGAAGCTAGACAAAGAAAGTTGCAAAGTAAACTTGTTTCAGTCATTGACAGAGTCAAACTTTGATAAGGGATAGCTCTGATATTTACCTCGCGCAAAGCATACAACAATAACAAAGTCAGCTGGTACAAAAGAAAAAATAATAATGAAAAGGGCAATATGCTTCAGTGTCAGAAAGGTCTAGTGCAGTTCCCTATTATTTGGGAACACAGACTATACAATTACGGGTAAATTGAGTCTTAAATAAAGTTCCTTTTTTTTTTGGGTAAAAATAATAATTGTTTTCAGAAATCATTTTTCTTTACCCAAAAAAAAAAAATGGTGCTCTGTTCTGATGTTCTAAAGGTTTCTCTGGATCTAATGGACAGATTGTGTTTATATTTGATTTATACATTACTATGTGTTTTGTGTTTATTTGTGATTCACTTTGGGTATATTTTATCCAGTTTTCCTTGAGTGCCAAGATGGTAAGTACAAAAAAAAAAAAAAAAAATCATTATTTTGTTTTACTAATTTCTTTAAACATTCCATCTGTTTTTAATTAACTACTAACACAATTTATAGCAGTATTCTAATATTTTTTCTCTACAGTTCCTGGTCATTTGATATATAATATGCGTATGTTGCAAAGCAGTTGAATTAGTATGTTCTGTTTTAAAGTGTTAACACTCGTGACATTTCACAATTGCATTACCACTCCTTGGGGCCCCTTATGTTAAACTCCCCTGGGACTTAAAAAGCTAAGATTCGTTCCCAGCTGTGGATTATTTGAAGAAGAAAAAAAACATCCGTATGGTTTTTGGACAGTTGTACGAGAGTCACACCATGAAAGAGATAGGGGCCTCCCAATGTAAATATTCCCAAAGGAAACATCGGTACACTGTAGCCAACTGTTTTAGTGGAGACAGCACAGAACATTGTTTTTATTAATGTGATGTGCTGAGAAATATAAAGAGGGTGCTAAAAGGTTCCATAGAACCTGTTCTGCTGTATGGCAGCAAATCTTAGAATGTCAGTAAACAAATTAAGAAGAATTTGGAAGCAACAGAGATGTGGTTTCTGAGACAAATGTTACGAATACCTTGGACGGCCAGAGGAACTAACAACGATTGTTTGTAAGAGGCTAATGAAAGTAGATCTTTATATACAATAATAAGAAGGAGACAAACACTGTTCTTTGGCCATATAATAAGAAGAGAGACATTGGAGAACATCATGACAACAGGGAAGATCAGTGGAAAAGGAAAAGAGGCAGACAAAGAGAGATGATGCTGGATGGGCTGAAACAATGGCATTGAGGGATATCATCAGAAGATCTGTTCCAGGGATCATGATCTGTGGAGACTCATGAGCGCCTACGCCAGTAGGCAGGGCAGCGAACATGATGATGATGATGATGACGACTCAGAAAAATGTGTATAACTGTAAAGCATACTGGACAGCCAGCACAATGTTGACTGCATTATCTGTCACATACACATTGATCTTTACAAGTTGCTATTGGTTGGTCACAGTTTTTCAACTTCATTTGCAAAAGCAATTGGATGTTGTTTAGTGCAGTAAAGACTGGCATATGATATCACAATGTCTAGTTTGAAAATGGAGGTGGAGGCAGTCACTGCTGCATTTCACTGGCTTGAGAATCAGCTATACACACATGCATGATTGTAACTGACATTCAGAGCATGTGGAGAAAGGTGGAAACAGAGATTCTCTGTGCAGTGTGGCAAGCATCACTCCAGAGGTCCCGGGTTGTGAGTGTCCTTTGCATATTTTCTCCAGGTTATGCCGATGTGTTGGTAAATGAGCAGGAGATAGACTGGCCGGCTTTGGTGGTGAACTTATATATGACAAGCTATTATGAGGGCCGTTTTGGAGTGAGCACAAATAGATCATTACTGGACTGAGGAGAACGGCGCTGCGAGGAATTACCAAGGGATCTGGCGGACGCTCAACACTCAAGGAAAGGGCAAGATAGATATACAATCAGACAGTTACTGGTACCATCAGAATTGGGACTCTTCACTTGCTGGGGACAGAGCCCTTATGGAAAAGCCCCGAGTGCTGTGATGTGGATTCCTAATTCAACATTCAACATTCATGGCAGATGAGCTACCATAAGGACTCCATTCTTGAGCCAGTGAAAAGGTCCTTACTCACATCGGATTGCAGGTTATACCTAGCTATTGTATCCCTAATGTGTGCCCTAACTATAACTTATTTCGAGTTTGAATGGGGTATCTGGGATCTGCCTTGTTAGTTTGTCATCCACATTGATTTATTCAATCTCAGGATGGTATGGCAACAGCCCAAAGCGGACAGTCTATCATTGTCCCATGTGGAAAAAAATAATGAACAGACTGTAGTTATGGCCAAGCCAACAGCATAAAAACATTAAGTTGCCACCACCAAGTGGCCTGTAAAAGAATATTGGTGCACTGACCATCAAAGGTGGAGTAAAGTAAAGCACCCTGTTCCACATCTTTGGACATACAGGTCATATAGGGCTAGAATGCTTGAAGTCTACTCCCCTTATTACCATAAGACCTATATTTTACAGACCACTTAGAACTCAGAAGGTACACACCCCAACCACCTTTACTTCCCAGGACTTTACCTGATACACATTTAAGGCTTCGTTGACCTGGATGCCAAGGTCACTTTTTTTTAGAAAACATCCGGCTCAGTCAAGACCTAAACTTTACACTATGTTAAGATACATAGACACTTTGTTAGGATACAAAAGAGCCTAAGTGTTTAAAATCTGTGACATTTTCTATTTCTTCACTTATGATTGTGATATGTGGTTGGTGTACTGTATTTACTGAGAAAAAAAAAACAAAATTTTTTTCAAATTCAGAAAAAGATTCACTTCTTTGCTGTATTTTTTGATGGCCAGAATTAATTTTTCTAAACCTTGTACACTGTTGGAAAGGAGAACTGTGTGGTCTGAATATCTGAGTTCTGGAATGATCTTTTACATACTCAAATCTTATCTTCTTCAGGTGAGGGTCATGAAACACCTGTTCAAGGACTACAAGACCCCTACCATGGTGGAGTGTGAGTTTCTAGGTCAAGAAATAGGCCTGCCAAAACGGGTGGTTCAGGTGTGGTTTCAGAATGCAAGAGCCAAAGAGAAAAAGGCCAGGCTTAGCTCAGGAAAATTGCTGAGTCCAGAAGGTGACGACCTGGCCAAATCTGCAGAAGAGTGCTACCTGTGCCGATGCAAGTACACACACAAAGTCACTGTAAGTTTGTTTCTCTGGGCATAGGTTTTAGTTTGCTTACATCTTCGTGTGGGTTCTGGGACCCTTTCTTGGGGGGTGGGTGGGTGGGGGGGGGAAGGGTGGATAGACCCACTGCCTCACAAACAAGCAAGTCGTTAAAGGTGACTTACTAGGGGTGTTTCTCTCACAGTTGGGGCTTATCTGCCTGAGAGGTGAGAAACTTAAGTCTGCTTGCAAATATGTGGTGCCCCTTCCCTTGTGATTCCCTAACACATGCTTAGTATGCATAATTGGTAATCAGGCCCTGCTCATCTAGCATGAGAATGGCGGTGGAGGTGGTAACTGCAGCTCTCCGGTGGCTAGAGAACAAGATGCATACACATGTCGTAATTGTAACAGACTCTGAAGACATGCTGAGAAAGGTGAAGACAAGGATGCTTCAAGTGCTGTGATGTCAATTCTTGACTCAACTCAACTCAGCTCAACTCAGCTCAACTCAGCTCAACTCAACTCAACTCAACTCAACTCAACTCAACTCAGCTCAACTCAACTCAACTCAACTCAGCTCAGCTCAACTCAGGCCCTGCTTATGCCCTACAGAAAACTCTCAAAGGTCTTTAACTACTGGAGACCTCTGAATCAATGTTTGCCATTGCAGGTAGTGGCCCTTTCTCCACATTTCTTAGCACGCTTTGTGAGTCGGTTACAATCATGACATGAATGTGTAGCTGGTTTTCAGAATTCGTCTTAGATAATCTGGTTTATAGAGCAGGATCTCAACTTATGGCCGCCGAGTTCTGTTCTGGTCAGTGGCGATGGACTTCATGGTTGCATGCCTAAGGCCTGTCCAGTCAGTCAGGTTCTGTAACTAGGTCTTTCTTGGTCTGCCTCTTCTCCTCTTTTCCTCTACTGAGCCCTGCAGTACTGTTTTTGACAGGCCGTTAGATCTTATTACATGTCCATACCATTGTATTCTTCGCCTTTTCACCATTGTTGTCGAGTTAAACTTATACGCAAATTAAACTACAGTTTAATTAACTTGCAACATATTTTTTTTAATGAATTATCATTATAAAGATAAATAAGTTAGCCATTAGAAAATAGAATAAAAATAATAATAATAAAGTATTCAATAAAATATGTTGCAAGTTGAACTGTAGTTTAATTTGTGTATAAATTTACTATAAATTTACAGTTTTAACATATGGCTGTGAATCCTGGACAATCGGTAGGCAGACCAAACGATTTCTTAAGGCCTCAGAGATGTGGTTTTACAGAAGAATGCTTAGAATACCTTGGACAGACAAAAAGAGCAACCAAGAGGTTTTGAAAGAGGCGGGAGCCCGAAGACAACTTATCACAGACATCAGATGGAGACAGTCATCATTTTTCGGCCATGTTATGAGAAGAGGGAAAACAGAACATGTTGTGACTACTGGAAAGATCTGCGGAAGAAGGGATAGAGGAAGACAACGAGAGAAGATTCTTGACAGTCTTGTTGCATGGCATGAAGGTTATTCGGCACACAAACTGATACATGCTGCAGGAGATCGTGGATTATGGAGAGGCATGATCACCCACGCAAGTCGGCAAGGCACCTGATGGTGATGATAAATTTACTTGATAATAATGGTGGGCACAGACCGGCCTAACAAATAGGGAATTTCCTTAGACCTGTTTGGCCTTACTGCTAGAGCTAGCCATGTTATCCTACTGTACTCTATATTATTACTTCCACTATTATCTTATTTTAAATTTTTTTTTATTCAGCTGCAGGATCATATTTTCACCAAGGCCCACATCGACAAGATCAAGTCATTCCTCAACTCCCAGGGTGACCTGGACAGCTGCAATCTCTCCGGGTTGTTCCAATCACCAAATAAAGCTGATCACATGGACAAGAGATGTGACAACTCAGTGTCCAGACTGCAGACTGTGAAGCTACAGCCCACGCAAGTTAGCCCAGCCAGCTTCAGCTCTGAGCATTGTCAAGGTAGGTGTACTAAAAGTAATGCGTCTCTGTGAATTATTGTTTGATGAAAGTATTTCACAACGAATATTACATCTCCCCCTGACACTTCACTGAGTTTCAAGTTGGAAGAGAAGAAGAAGAAAAAGAAGGTATTTCACAGTCCACTTACTCAAAATTCTTACCTGTTCTACCTCATCGTTGTATTATTTTAACTTAATATTTTCGTTTTCTTCTTAACATTCACCGTCTGTAAACACCGGGGAAAGTTTTGGTTGTTCTTTTATTTCTGGACTGTTGTTCCATAACTTGAACTGTTGATTCCTCACCTCTCAGACAGAAGCACTCTGACTTTGGAGGAATAATCCATTCTCTCAGACAGAAGCACTCTGACTTCGGAGGAATAATCCATTCTCTCAGACAGAAGCACTCTGACTTTGGAGGAATAATCCATTCTCTCAGACAGATGCACTCTGACTTTGGAGGAATAAATAGATGCCTCTGACTTCGGAGGAATAATCCCTTTCTCAGACAGATGCACTCTGACTTTGAGGAATAGGACAGATGGCAGTGGGTCTACTCATTTTCCCTCCCGATAATGAGACCTCGTAACCCATTTAGGTAACCAGTGTTTAAACACTGCTTTTGTAAAATTACAAAAAACATTAGCATTGAAAGAGTTAAAGTTAAAACTTGGTTGGTTGGTTGGTTAGTTAGTTAGTTAGTTAGTTAGTTAGTTAGTTAGTTAGCTAGCTAGCTAGCTAGTTAGTTAGTTAGTTAGTTAGTTAGTTAGTTAGTTAGTTAGTTAGTTAGTTAGTCGGTCGGTTGGTTGGTTGAGTTATCATCATTGTCCATAGGTGCTCAGATCCTCCCCTCAGTATGAACCCCAGTGTCCTGTGGCTAGTATTACCAGTTCTATGTTGATTAACAAGCCCTCTGATGTGTCTGGTGTGCGTCTCGTTTTTTGCTATGCCGATCTTAACTCACAAGTAAATCATTCTGATAATGATGTGGGTTCATTGCCCCCAAAGTCTTCAACCCTTTCCATTTCTCGGAGGACATTAATAATATCAGCATGATCCATAGGTTGATCGTCGATAGTGATAGCGAATCCAGCCAACCTATCAGCTCTTAAGTTAAAACTTGTTAGAACCAAGAGAGAATTAATGTAGTTTTGTGTTTGTCTTTTGCAGGGGAGAGAGGTCAGAGAAACCACGAAAAGGTGTCAACAAAAAAGGGAAGAACTGAAGGTAAGAAGGGAGTCTAATGTGATGCATTTAACCCTTTTGTCATGGAAACCCTTGAAGAAAAATTAAAAGCAATGAACTGTGAATTCTAGGAAACAAATCTGTTTTAAAAAAGCTCACTTATATTTCTGCAAATTGAAAACTAAAACAAAAATTTTTTTTAAGAAATTTAAGAAGTGCAGTGATGAGTAAACACAAATGGAGTGGATGATTCTTCTTTATCTCCTTCTTTATTGTTCATCTGAATGATGTAATTAAATTGGGCCTGTTTACAGTGTAGATCCAGTATTTGCACCTTTGGGCCAGAAGATCCGATTCTGATGGTAACAGTAGTATGTTGATTTTATGTTTGTCTTGCTTTTCCTCAGAGTGTAAAGTGTTGGCCAGATCCCCGAAGGTAACTCTGTGCAAATGGTACCTGATTTTTTAATCACCCCTAACCAGCCAATTTTGTGTCACAGATTATCTTTGACTTCTTCTCTGTTCGCCAGCTGTAAGGTCTCCTAAAGTGTTGGCCAGATTCCCCAGGTAACTCACTGCAAATGGTACCTGATTTATTAATCATCCCTAGCCAGCCAATTTTGTGTCACAGATTATCAATGAATGAAGAATGTAAAACAAATAATATGAGAATCAACACTGAAAAGACAGAAGTAATGTCAATAGGAAAAAAGAAGATAGATATAAACATAGCAATAGAATACAAAGGCATTAAACAGGCATCTGAGTTTAAATATCTGGGAACTACATTTACCGAAGATGGGAAATTGGATAAAGAAATTGACATTAGATGCAGTAAAGCAAACCAAGTATTGGGACAGCGAGCACCCCTCTTACAGCATAAGACAATCCCAATCAGCACAAAGAGACATCTTATTCAAAGCATATTTATTCCAACTCTGTGCTACCAGTGCCAGACATGGTCACTCACAACAAACCATAAAAGAAAATTAGTAACCACGGAAATGAGATGTCTGAGAAGGGCTGTAGGAGTGACCATAAGAGATAAGATCAGGAATGAGATCATAAGAAAACAAGTCGGCACAGAACCAATTCCGGATTACATACAAAGACAGCAAGTGAAATGGTTTGCCCACTTAGAGAGAATGCCTTGTGACACCATACCATACAAAGCATACATGGAAAGAGAAGAAGGACGTAGAGCACGGGGTAGACCAAGAACAAGATGGAAGGATAACATCAGAGAAACTCTACAACAGCACGATGTGCCTATGGTCGAGGCAGCCAGAAGAGCTAGAAACAGAACCTTATATCTCCCTCGACACCCACAGCGGTAAAAGAGGAAGTGAAGAAGAAGAAGAAGAAGAAGATTATCTTTGACTTCTTCTCTGTTCGCCAGCTGTAAGGTCTCCTAAAGTGTTGGCCAGATCCCCAAGTAACTCACTGCCACACACCGGAAATGGTTCCTGATTTTTTAATCACCCCTAACCAGCCAGTTTTGTGTCACAGATTATCTTCTTCTTCTTCTCCTTCTTCTTCTTCTCTGTTAACAAGCTGTAAGCTCTGGCAGAAGGTTTTGGCTGTTTGTCCATTTGGACCTTGGCTTTGCCAGGACCTGAGTTTTGCATATGCACCTGTTTTACTTGCTTATTTGTGTACAGTTGTATATTCCTTGCAGCTTGGGCAGATATGCACTCCAACTTCAAAGGAAGCTCCCAGTTGGTTGTCTCTTACAACATGCTTATTGGGAAGGCGGTGGGTCTGTCCTTGTTTTCCCTACAATAGGGCCCCAGAACCCACTCAAGGAGCAGATTATTTGATTTTGGCCTGTTACCTTGAAAAACCTGTACCTTTTGTTGCCTTTTTGCCAGATACAACCTCTAGGACTGAGCAGAAGCAGAACCAAGCAGTTTTGGAGATGGCGATGAATGCTCAGATGTTGTCAGCTCTTGGAGGCTACATGCCCGGCCTTGACCCTGCATACCTGCCTTATATGTACAGCGGTGTGCCAGAGTACTTTCCTGGAATGGGGCTTCCTCTTGTGCAGCCAGGCATCATGCCAGGTTTGTCAAAAAACTATGTCTGTATAATGCCTGTATTTATACGTTCATGCTTACAAAAAGATTTACATGCTCCTTCCTTCCTTCTTTCTTTCTTTCTGGTGAGAATGTAGGTATGTAAGTTGTACCCCACCAGGACATCACACCACCGATAAACACCCGGTGACACAAAGTGCCACCATGCGGATAAGGGTTCACCCGTGGAGAGGTCCAGGAAACCCCGTTCAGCCGTTTGGCCATATTTCAGGCCCGGCTATATTTAGGGCCCCCGGCAAAAGCCAGGGTGTGGCTTCAAAATAACTAAAAATCACATCCTACAAGGAGACATGTGTTTTTTATGTGATAATTTTTTAACTTTAAAAAACAAAAAACATAGGAGACAAGAAATTCACATACTCCTAATCATCATCATCAGTGACCACTTCTGCTATTTAGCCTTGTGGGGAGGAAAAGTTTGCGATCCATTGCTTGATGGGCAGCAATGGCTATTGTCATTCTGTGTTGATGTAGAAGCTCTTTAGTGTCATCAATCCTTCTTCTCCTAGGGCGGCCTCGTGCTTTTACTTCAGATCTGCTCATGTGTAGCGCCTGCATTGGTAGTTGTTCTAGCTGTATTCTTAGTAGATGACCAAACCATCTGATCTTCTGTTTCTCAATGAATTTGCTGCATGGTGTTGTTCCTACAGTCTGTCTGATAATGCTATTTCTAACTTTTGTCTCAGATAGTTAAGTTGGTGGCTTTTCTCAGGTATATTTCACAGGTGTTAATTTTACACAGGTTAGCCTTTGATAATGTCCAAGTCTGGCACTCATAGCACAGTGTTGGTATGAATATACTGTTTATAATCTCTTTCTTGGCACTCATACTTATGTTTGGATGCCTCAGTAATGGTTTCAGTTGGTTTACAAGTTCACTGGCTGGTTGGCATCTTTTTTCTATTTCTCGATCAGTTCTTCCATCATCCGAGAATATACTTCCTAGATATTTAAATGCGTTAACTTGCTTCAGATAGGTACCATTTAACATGATATGTAGCGGACTAGGAATTCTACTGACCTACATTACTTCAGTTTTAGTAGTATTTATTTTTATATCTTCTGCTTGTTGAACTTAGCATGTTTAAATGTTCTTTAAGTCTACTCCCTTATGGTTGAACAAGCATTGATCGTCTGCAAACAGTAGCTCATTTATGGTGTGTGAATCTAATTCTTCTTTCGGAAAGGAAAGTTCCTCAATTTCTGGATTTTCTTGGTCAACTTCTTTAAAGCTTTAAAGCTGGCTTCTTTTGATATTCTATCTATGTATATATTAGAGAGGAGACAGTACACATCCCTGCCTCACCCCTGTGTTGATTGTAAACATATCAGACATGTCTTCTTGTGTTCTCACTGCGCTTTGGGAAGTGTGGTACATGGCTATGATGTTATCTAGCAGTTGTTCTTGTATCCCATAATCCTCAAAAAAAGCCCATAGCTTGTTTCTGTCTATCAAAACCTTTTTCTTGACCAACAAACGCAAAATTCAGGTCATCGTCATAGTCAGTGGTTTTCTTGCAAGCCTGTTTTAGTGTAAATAATTCATCTGTGTAACATTTTCGTTTCCTGAAACCAGATTGTGATGTACTTGGGTGCTGTTCCGCTATAGTTCTAACTCTCTGTTCTAATAATTTTGCATACGTTTTTTATGTGTGATTAAAGAGGGACATACCTCTGTACGATGCACCTTATATGATGCACCTTATATGATGCACCTTATACAATGCACCTTATACAATGCACCTTATACGACGTTGCTTGTTAAGGGAGCAGTGTGTCTATTCTATTTTGCCCCAAAATGCACCCCCCCCCCCCCCCTTCCAGCCCACTAAATGTCTTTGGGAGTAAAGGTAGCTACATTACCTACAAAGTGCCAGTAGGTATTTAACAGTGATGGCCACCAGGAATTTTCATAAAAATTATCATTGTGGATTGAACAACACAGCCCATTAGGTAAACATAAACCCTTCAGAAAGTGGGGCAAATGGCTTAGCCACTCAGCCACAGAGACCCTCAATACTCCGTTTGTTTTATATATATCTACATCGGCGTCTGTGGCTTAGGGGTTGCAAATGGGCTTCGTAATGCTAGGTTAACGGGTTCGATCCCAGCTGCGGGCCTTGCTCCTTGTGTTGGTTTTAGCTGTGGTATCGAGAAGCCGACCGTCCAGAAAGCAACAGCAAAACTACTGGACGTAAACTTGCCTAGTTAAACCACAACAGCCAAAAAAATGCTGGGGTTTGTTCTGCAACGTCCTGTAAAGGATACGCAACTAACTAACTATAACACACACTCTAAAGACATCAGCAGCTTTTAAAAGCTTGATCACAGCACGGAACTCTCAATTACATAGTTTTAGAATCAAGTTATTTATTTTCAATTTGTTATTTCAGTTTTAACATATACCAATGAGAGTCGGAGAACCACTAAAGATGTGGAATGAAAGTTAAACGCATAAAAAAAAATAAACACACGATGAACATAGAATGGGAACGAATTCAAGAGGAGTGAATAAATAAGAGAAATGTCTGGACAACCACTGGTATCAACAGTTATAAGACAGAGAAGACGGCGCTATATTAGACATCTTCTGAGGAAAGATGAACAGAGAGTCATCGAACAGGCACTGTATGTGTGTATGTACCCCACCAGGACATCACACAAGCGATAAACATCAGGTGACACAAAGTGCTACCATGCGGATGAGGATCACCCGTGGAGAGGTCCCAGAAACCCCTTTCAGCAGTTAGGCCATATTTAAGGCCTGGCTATATTCAGGGCCCCTGGCAAAATTCCAGGGTGGGGCTTCAAATATGGGGACGACTGGTACTAATTATAAGAGGCACTGAAATGGGAAATACAGGAACTGAGAAAATGAGGATGTCCAAGAGAAAGGCAAAGGTAAAGGCTGATGAGAGAGGTCAAAGCTGCTGGACTGGATTTCATCCATGATATCAGAATGACTGCACAGGATAGCAGGGAATGGAGGAATAGATTGTGAGCCCTATGTGATATCATCATCATGTGCCCTGCCAGCTGGTGTAGGCGCTCATGCGTCTCCACAGATCATGATCCCTGGTTCCTCTTGATGATATCCATCCATGCTATCGTTTCAACCCATCTAGCATCTTCTCTCTTGGTCTGCCTCTACCACTTTTCCCACGGATCCTTTGAGTTGTCACTATGTTCTCCAAATGTCTCTTTTCTCATTATGTTTGTCTCTTTATTGTTGTATATAGAGATCTACTTCTATGTGATATATAAAGGTAAAGTGAATGAACGAATTTATATCTATTGTTGTCTGCAATCTTTTCAGATCACATGATGCCCTATGATCCTTTAGTCTTTGGCACTCCTTTGGCCCTGCTACAGATTCCCTCTGCAGCCAAAAAGTCCATCAGCGAAAAGGTCAAGGAGTCTGGCTCTGTGCTGGCTCGATACACTCAGGACTCCCAGGTTTTAGCTGACCTCCATAACCTTGTCAGGGCCTCAGACCTCACAGCTGCAGCCGAAGCAACACTTGATGTTGGGTTCATTTGTAAGACATGCCAGACGGTGTATCCTGCAAAAGATTCCTGTATAGCTCACCAGCGGTCCTTCTGCATGGCCAACGCCTTGTCACTACCCAAAGGATTTGAACCAATCATGAAGCTGGAACAGATTCAGTATGAGTGCCGAGCATGTGATGAAAGATATTCAACTGTCTTAGAGTTCAAATCTCACTGCCTGCGAGAGTCTCACAAGCAGAAGTTAATGAAGTTCAAGGTGAAAGAAGCGGCCCGACGTGAAACAGCAGACTCACCAAATTCATTCGGCCCCTATGTGCCCTTAACTGGCAAGATCAGTTCATCATTGTCCCCTTATTTATCAAAACCCCAAACAGCATCATCATTATACAACAACAACAGCATCAGTCAGAATAACAACCAAGTGAAATCCCCAGGCATCACTCCTGGGATGAAGCTTCCTCTGCTGCCATCTCCAGCCCACCAGTACAACAAAGTTTCACCAGGTGTTCCAGCAGCTGACAAACACACTATGGCCTTCAGTGAAGAACCTGATATTCATGAGGTCAAGGCTGAATAGGGTATTCTTCCAGTTTTGAAGAGTGATTTTGAGCGTTCTTTTGTGATCAGAAAATAAAAAGTTGAGTTTAGATAAGTTGAGGTGAATCAAGAACTAACTTGACAGCACTCTGAATATTTCCATATTTGCTCAGTCCTCATCTCTAGCAGTCATTGATGAGTTCCAATTTCGATGGTGCAAGCTGCAGTTTGATTGTATTTCCATCTTGCCTTTCCTCTAACTGTTGGGTCTTGGCCATATTGCCTGGTCACTCACAACCACACCAGTTTCTCTACACTATAATGACCTGTTCAAGCATCTGCATTGTTCACTTGCTCCTAAATGGCCTTGACCGCATCTAGTTTGTCAGGCATCAAGTTACCCTACATGAGTACAGCACCAGACATTCGATCAGCCTGCTTATTTCCTAACATATCTGCATACCTAAAGAAAGAAACCCAATGGATGCTATTTGCCAAGAACTTGAGTTGTCTTGAGGCATGGTATCCGCCTCCGTTGCTGAAGGTTCTGGATTTAGGCCCCAGTGAAGGCTAGAGTTCTTACAAGTGGACTTCTGGTAATTTCTCCTGGTCCCTGGTTAGTAAGACTGGACACCCATTTGTATTGTGGTTGTGGCACTCGTAAAAAAAATTCCTTCGCAGTTGGAAATTGAAATGATTTGCCTAACGAACAAAAATCTAAAGTTAAAAATCTACCCAAAGTAGTTTAGGATCTTCGCCGATGCTACAGAGTTTGTGCACACACATATCTCTGTGGCTAAATGCTTGCCTGGCACATTTCACTGTGGCTAAATGCTTGCCTGGCACATTTCACTGTGGCTAAATGCTTGCCTGGCACATTTCACTGAGGTTAAATACTTCCCTGGCAAATTTCACTGTGGCTGAATGCTTGCCTGGCATATCTCACTGTGGCTAAAAGCTTGCCTGGCACATTTCCCTGTGGCTAAATGCTTGCCTGGCACATTTCACTGTGGCTAAATGCTTGCCTGGCACATATCTCTGTGGCTAAATGCTTGCCTGGCACATATCTCTGTGGCTAAATGCTTGCCTGGCACATTTCACTGTAGCTAAATGCTTGCCTGGCACATTTCACTGTGGCTAAATGCTTGCCTGGCTCATTTCACTGAGGTTAAATACTTCCCTGGCAAATTTCACTGTGGCTGAATGCTTGCCTGGCATATCTCACTGTGGCTAAAAGCTTGCCTGGCACATTTCCCTGTGGCTAAATGCTTGCCTGGCATATCTCACTGTGGCTAAAAGCTTGCCTGGCACATTTCCCTGTGGCTAAATGCTTGCCTGGCACATTTCACTGTGGCTAAATGCTTGCCTGGCACATATCTCTGTGGCTAAATGCTTGCCTGGCACATTTCTCTGTGGCTAAATGCTTGCCTGGCACATATCTCTGTGGCTAAATGCTTGCCTGGCACATTTCTCTGTGGCTAAATGCTTGCCTGGCACATTTCTCTGTGGCTAAATGCTTGCCTGCAAAAGATTCTTTGTGGGACAAATGTCTATTTCATTTTCATGCCAGGGCATGCAGAGAAATGTGGGGCTGTGTCTGCAAACTGCAGAACATGTCCTTTAAGAATGTCCATAACAAAGTCCGTTAAGTAGGGAATAATGGCCCAGTGTGGCAACACCATGCTCAAAGTTAAAGATTGTTTTGGCAAGGAGCCACCAAAATGCACACGAATAAGCCAGATCTGTAGAATGAATGTGCACATAAAACTAAACTTCCGGAACAAAAACCAAAGCCCAGAACTGGACGAACAACCATAACTTTTGTCTGAGTTTACAGCTGTTGAATACCAAGAAGGAAAAAAAAACAAGTTTATTATCACTGTTATTGTCATTCATTGTATTTGGTGTTAACATTTTTGTTTTGTTTATGTTAATATCTTTTTTTTTATTTTTTTTATTTATAGTTTTAGTATTTTGTGTTTTTATTTGTTGCTATTGTCATAAGTAATAGTTTCAGTCATAGAAGACTGCAGCATTTGCCAGTGTTGAGAATAACGATGCCAATAAAATCATAAGTATTACTTTCCCAGTTGCCAAATTTATAAATTTGTATAACATTAATATGCTGCCAGCTTTAGCATTTTCTGGCTTAATCAAACAAGTACATTTACACATGATTTTGTCCAGGTTGTTTTTGTATAGTGAGTTTTTTTTTAAAATGCAGGTACAAACAATTAACTGCTGCCTGCAAAGAATAGAGAGAATTAAATGGTATAACAGAGTGACTAAAGTAGAGCTTTGGGAGAGAATTAAGCAAGTTCGAGTGAACCAAGAGGTGAGGAAAAGATGCTGGTGCTGGATGGGACACACGCTAAGAAAACCTGAGAACAGTATAACTAGAATATCATTGGGCTGGATCCCACAGGAGAATAGAAATAAGGCAGACACTCGCCTTCCTCCCCTGAAACAGAAGTTCTGTTCCAGAGATGTCTTCCTCCTCTGACACTGTGAAGCATTCCAGAAGTAGAGAAAAGAAGAAGAAGTATCATGCAACTTGCATTGCTTTTTTTTTCTTTTATTTTTTAGTTTTGACTGGCATGCCATTCTCATCTGCGAAGCTTGTACCATATTTAGCTGTAGCTTTAACCCATCCAATCCTGGTTGTTTTTTCAGTTCCTTTTTTTCCACATGGTGTTATCGTTTAAGCCCCTTTAGACCTAAAGATTTATTACTTGAACAACTGCTGCATAGGAGATGAAGTCAAAAAGAAACACATATCTTTAACTGAAAGAGGCATGCAGATTATTTGTTCTCCCTGTAGGTTATGGGGCACTATTTTTGGGGGTTAAAAAGAATAGATCTACTTCTTGAAAAGAATTTCATAAATGGCATTTCCTGTGTGTGTTCTGTGGCCCCATTGGGGAGGAAATAAAATGAACTCACCGTGATCCTATCAGGCATGCTGTAAACCGAAACTAATTACGGGGTGTTTCCTTCAATGTCAGAATAAATCTGCCAGGTAGATAAACAAACAGTCTGCATACAGCAGGAAGGTTAACCCGGTCAACAATGCCTGCAGAAGTCAGATGTGTCAGCAGAAAGGCGCAGATATTGCATCCAAGCTGTAACGGAGCACAACGAAGTTGCATCTTCTGATAAACGCAGAAGAAGAAGAAGCAGCAGTCTGCATACAAACAAACCAGATGTGTAAAATGGCTGTGCACACAAAAACTCTCAAGTTCTGGAACTAGACCAAAGTCTAGAAGTGGATGAGCAACCAGAGTTGCCACCAGAGTTTACAGCCGATGAATGCTAAGAAGAGGTAAAAGACAGCATCAGCATGGTAATTTTTCATTGACCACTTAAGACAAAAGCAGAGCATATGTCAGAATCCTTTTTTGATTCATTCATCAACTCATTCAAGTAATTTGTGTGCATTTGTTATGTTAGGCATAATCCTTTGTAGTTTATGTCATTAAAATCATCATACCATCATCATTATTACCATCATCATTACCAGCAAGCAATTGTTTCTTTGCTTTTTCCAGATCTGTCAGCATTTCATGTTTTTAGTGTGTATCAAATCACTAAGCTAGAGCCAAAAACAAATTTACAAATGGCCTTAACATGCTTGACAATGTTTAAAAATGCATGTGAAAGTCAGCAAGTTTGCTAGTGTTTCTGGTTTCAATAAACATTTTGTCCCAAGCAGTCATGTTAACCCCTTCTATCCCAGGCAGTCTTTTTCTCTCACTAAATAATTTTAACTCTTTCAGTTTCATATAATCATTTCAACTATTTCTACTCCAGACAACTTACCAAATGTGATCAGTTATTGTCTATATCAGAGATTTTCCAAAATGTCTATGTTGGTGCCACACTTCCTCATCATCAAGTGCCTTGCCAGCTGGTGTTAAAAGTCAACTAGTTCATTCATCTCCACAGATCTCTGTCTTTGGTGTTCTGGATCAATTCCACTGATAATATTCCTTTCAAGCTATCCAACATCATTTATTTTGGTCTGTCTCTGCCTCTTCTACCCAGTGATCTTTCCAGATATCACGATATTTTCCAGTGCTTCTTTTCTCATCACATGACCAAAGAAATTTGTCTCCTTCTCAATGTTGGTTTGGCTCGTCTTTCAACAGGTGATTTTCTCCAAGATTGTTATCACTGTCAGACTAGGCTCTCGGGTGTCTGCCTCTCTTCCATCTGCTGCTTGAGGGTCTGTCCATCTACTATTTGAGGGCCTGTCTGGTGTTTGTTTCTTTGGTGCTGCCCTGAAATGCTGATAAGGACTAGGCCGGCCTATTCTGTATGTTCTTGTCCTCTGACTTGTTTCCCCACTGGCTGTAGCTAAGGGAACAGTGTTTGTTGGTTTGATTGGGCTACTTTCAAACTGGCTGTCATCGAACTCAACTTTTGAGTCCCTGGCTTGGTCTGGGGCTTTGATCTTGTCTTTTGATTGGTTGGCTTTTCATGTGGTTGGCTGGATTTGTTTCCCATTCTTCATTCAGGTTCTTCTGTTTGGCTCCTTTTTTTTTTCCCCCATTGTGGCATGGCATTCTCTTCTTATTCTTTCGAGGCTTTCTGTGTCTCTTTTTATTGTCTCTTTCAGTTCAGCCATCTTCTTTTCCACATCGTCAAGACACACTGTTTGAAAAGTTCTGATCTCAATCGAGAAATGACTGCTCAGTTAATTATCATTTACATTTTATTTAAGAATACTAAATACTTCTGACTAAAGACTTGCATTATTTTTTTAACATAACATAACATAACTTGTTGGAAGATTCAGACTTGTGTGTGAAGGTTTACAATTGTGTGTGAAGGTTAAGACTTGTGTGTGAAGGTTTAGACTTGTGTGTAAAGGTTTACAATTGTGTGTGAAGGTTTAGACTTGTGTGTGACGGTTTAGACTTGTGTGTCAAGGTTTAGACGTGCGTGTGAAGGTTTAGACTTGTGTGTAAAGGTTTACAATTGTGTGTGAAGGTTTAGACGTGCGTGTGAAGGTTTAGACTTGTGTGTGACGGTTTAGAC